CACACACACTTAGAAAAAACCTATTGAGTAATAGTTGTGCCTTATAATATTCCATATGCTTTCTCCACTTCTCCCATTAACTTCCTACTAAAAACTTCAGGCCCCGAGTCTGTTTCCCAGAGAGCTTCTCCCTAGTGCTGGATAGAACCAAACCACAGAAACTGCAGACCCCAAAACACATTTTTCAGTTTCCTGGTTTCGCCAGGAAAGAATCCCAGCCATGAGGGTAGATCAAGAATTGACTCCTGTGCAGTCAGATCAGGTGCTGGGTCTCCTGCGGTCAGGTGCCTTTCCACACACACAATACTTGCTCCGCTTCCATGTCCACAGTCGTCACTTGTTTCTGGAGAACTGACCCCTTATCTTGTTTAACACCCACATCCTGAAATTCTAAATCTCCTATACTGTTTTCTACTCCAAGATTTGACAGCCACTTTAGACAGTGAGTTGCTCGCTTTGTTTAAGCTGTTTAGTTCGGCTTTCTGTCCCTTGCAACTGTGGTCTTCTTGTGGCTTGGGAATACTTAGAGAGACGGAGTCTTGAACAGGTTCTTCCCCCGTATTTAGAGACTAACAGGTCAACAATGCCACACACACACACGCACACACACGTGTTTTCAACACTTTCCTTAGCATTGTGCATGTGCCAGACACACAACCCTGCTGAGTCCTGCCTTGTACGATTGTAGTCCCAAGAGTGAGCCCCAAAAATCTCTCACTAGCAACCCACAAGCAGCTGTCAGGGCACTGCTGCTGCTGCTTCTTTTTTTTTTTTTAAGATTTATATATTTTTATTGGAAAGGCAGAGAGAAGGAGAGACAGAGAGGAAGATCTTCTCTCTGATGGTTTACTCCCCAAGCAGCCGCAATGACCAAAGCTGAGCCAATCCAAAGCCAGGAGCCAGGAACTTCTGCCAGGTCTCCCACACACATGCAGGGTCCCAAAGCTCTGGGCCATTTTCATCTGCTTTCCCAGGCCACAGGCAGGGAGCTGGATGGGCAGCAGGGCTGCCGGGATTAGAACCAGCACCCATATGGGATCCCAGCACATTCAAGGCAAGGACTTTTAACTGCTATGCTATTGCTCTGGGCCTGACACTGCTTCTTTATTGTCCTGTGAAGTTCCTGGGTTTGGAGGAATGAGCTTCAGGGATGCCCTGAACACCCATCCACAGTGTCTAAAATGTGGAAGGAGAAAACCCTTGACACCTGTGTTTGCGTGGCTCAGATAGAAACTTCCAGCTGCACTCCCTTGAGGTGATGCTTGCGCCTGCCACCTCAGGGTCCACTTAACCCTAGAAACCCCCTCCTGATAAGGCTTTGCCACAAGACAAAGTGGGCAATCGTTCTAGTTGGAAGTCCCTGGGCTGCATCCATCCCAAAAGGCTGAATAGGGTTCCATGCCCCCCTTCTTCTCTGGACAGAGTCCTGCCCTACTCCACCCTCCCTAAGGGGTTACACTTCAGAAAATGCACTTGGTGACGTGGTGAAGATGCCACTTGCAATGCTCACACCCCATGTCAGCGCACCTAGGTTCAAGTCCTGGCTTCACTTCCCATTCCAGATTCCTGAAAGTGCACCCTGGGAGGTAGCAGCTGATGGCTCAAGCACTCACTTCCCTGTCACCCACACGGGAGATCCAGCGTTCCCAGCTCCTGGCTCCAATTGGCCCAGCCCAGCTGTTACATACACTTTACAATCTCTATCTATCTATCTATCTATCTATCTATCTATCTATCTATCTATCTATCTATCTATCTATCTACCTAGCTCTCAAATTCAGTTTTGGTCTACTATTCACATTCAAAACCTAGGCCTTTTAAGATCTTCCACTCAAAAGCACCATAAATCCATTTCAAACGTGTGTACTACTGAATTACACCACTATCCACCCGAAAGCCAAAACTTGACACTAGCATTGAAGGCAACTGACTCTGGCCCTGCCAGTGGACCCCACAGATGGCACAGCTCTTGGTCCCTGCCCCAACCATCGCTGTTAACGATGCATTCACGCTCTTTCCCCCTTCCCTGCTTATCTCAGGTCCATTACAGATTGGCTCTTCATTTCAACTTCCCCGTTTCATGGAGTAGAAGTAGTACTACTCTCAACACTGAGCAAAGCTGGTTGCACTGGGAGCGCGCACGAGGAAGTCACAACATCTAACAGAAGTGATGAAGAACACATAGCCACGGGATGAGGGAAAGAACTCCCAGGAATTCTCCTAAAGTTTGCCAAACGGTTCCTGGCATGCCAAACAGTTCCAGAGCACTCGGTGTGTTTCCCCATTGTTGAGTTTATTCCCATTAGCTGTTGGTAGAGCATGTCCGTGAGGGTTTCCAATCTAGCAAATGCCCTGGCCTAGTGGCCTCCAGAAGCCATGAGTCCTGGGTCACCCAGAGCTGCACCCTTTTAACCTCAGCTCTTTTAAACGCTGATATTATGCTGAAGGCAGGCTCTGGGTGTTAGAGAAATTTTTAAAAGTGTGGCAGCTACAGCTCTGGAAAAATCAATGGAAATCGGGCCCGGCGCGGTGACGCAAGTGGTTAAGGTCCTCGCCTTGCATGCCCCGGGATCCCATATGGGTGCCGGTTCTAATCCCGGCAGCCCCGCTTCCCATCCAGCTCCCTGCCTGTGGCCCGGGAAAGCAGTCGAGGACAGCCCAAAGCTTTGGGACCCTGCACCCGTGTGGGAGACCCGGAAGAGGCTTTGCGCTCACTTGGGGAAGTGAATCATCGGACGGAAGATCTTCCTCTCTGTCTCTCCTCTCTGTATATCCACCTTTCCAATGAAAAAATAATAAAAATAAATCTTTAAAAAAAAAATCAATGGAAATCCTGGAGTCCTGGTCTTTCCAGCTCAGAACTAGTACAGCCAGCCCAGCCCACACCACGCACAGGTTCAGGGAAAGGTGGTGTCACCATCTTCTATTAAGACACACACACAAAAGCAGGAGTCCATGGCCTCTCTGGTCTTGACACATTGAAACTTAAGCGACTACAAATCACATTCCACATTGCCATCATGTCAGAGATGCTTTAACTTCAAACTTAAATGTCAAGAAGTATTTTTAAAAGCAAATTTAAGACTTTGATTTTGAATCAAGTCATCCGAGTCATCAAAAAAATGTTTCTGAAACAAATACCATCGTGATCAAACAAAAGAACAATACACAGCAAGAGTCAGTGGCTCTGTGCCCAGTAACTGCCTGGCTGGCATCTCACTACAGATCCTACTCAGCTGGGAGTTGGCTTTGAAAGCACAGGGAGGCGAGATGTGGAGAGAGATCAGAGCTTTCAGCATCTCAGAAAGCCATTTTAGTTTGTGTGACTGTTCTTTGCCTTGATAAAGTGATGAAAAATTTAATAGGAACTGTGTGAGGATCAGAACAGTCTATGATCGCCAGACTGCTGTGTGTCCAACTCCTGCAGAAGATCTCAAAAGCGTATAGATGTTGAATGTGGATACGAGAATATGTGCATCCTCTTTTAAGTGGGATTTCTTTTCAAACTACTCCATCTTCCAAGCGTACAGTCAGCATTCTACAGTTCAAAATCTTACTGTGCCAATAGGAGGGAGCAAGATGCTGCAGATAAGTTTGTGCCCTGTGCACCACTGTGCCTTGGGTCCTGAAGGTCTTCTCCAGCCCTGACCACAATCACTGGGCTGGAGCTAAGGTGGAAGAAGCCAGGGTTGGCACTTGGTAAACACTCGGAACTCTCTGTGGGATGAATGAGTAGACTCAAGCATGATCTGCTCTGTCCCATTGAATGCTAAGAGTCGGAGAGGTGGCTTTCTGTCCCCAACATAAGCAAGAGGCGGATGAGACATGCTTAGAAGAGAGTAAACACTCTTGGATGCCAGGGGGAAAGAGAAAGGCTACTCAGTTAACCGAGGCACATCTGAATAAAGATTAATGTGATCTCTGAGTTGAAATTCATCTCCAACTCAGAGGCTGCAGTAAGGGACCAACATGGTGATACAATGTATTAAGCCTCTGCCTGTGATGCCAGCGTCCCTTAGGAGCACTGGTTCAAGTCCCAGCTGCTCTACTTCTTATTTAACTCCCTGCTTTTATGCCTGGAAACCAGTGGAAGATGGTCCAGTTTCTTGGACCTCTGCTATCTCCCATGGGAGATACAGTTGGAATTTTATGTTCTTGGCCTCAGCCTGGCTCAGTTCTAGCCTTTGCAGCCATTTGAGCAGTAAGTGGATCAACAGACAGAAGATTACCTATCTATCTATTATCTATCTAAATCTCTTTGTAACTGTATAACAAGGAAAAGAAAAAGGATGCAGCTTGAAGCTGAGTTACCTTGAAGCTAAAAAGAATCCACTTCATGAACTATAAAATCTTGTTGTCAGATTCGGCTTCTGAGGCAGTCCTGATTTAGATTGTGCCATGAATAAAGAGACGACAGGAAGAGGATATGGAGCATCACTGACTTCCAGGGGTGGGGCCATTGGCTTCATCACACAGGTGCAATTGAGGTCCCGCTCCTAAGTTCAGATGCTCCACCATATCCACTCTTCAAGACAAAAAATCACTCCTCACCCTCTCTCATTCATACAATAGAGGACAATCGATTGAATTATTTGGAAGGTTAATTTGTGAGGCCAGTGTGGCAGCACATTGGGCTAAGCTGGTGCCTACAATGCTGATTTGGGTCCCAGATGCTCCACTTCCGAAATAGCTCCCTGCTAATGTGCCTGAGAAAGCAACAGAAGGCAGCCCTGGTCCCTGTCACCCACATGGGAGACCCAGAGAGAGCCCTAGTCGCTGGCTTCGTTCTGGCCCAGCCCTGACTGTTACAACCATTTTGAGAAGTAGCCCAGTGGGTGAAAGATCTCTCTCTCACTCTCTCTCTATTACTCAGCCTTTCAAATAAACAAATACATCTTTTTAAAACCCATGAGAATATACACTTCAAATTTTCCAATACTTGTACCATAGAAATGAAAGATGGAAAAGCAATAAAGAACAAAATTGAGGTAGAGTTGTTTTTTTTAAAAAAAAATATTTCTTGGAAAATGTGACCCTAAATTCAGACACAGTTGGTCCTGGGTGCAAGTCACAGCGTTCCCAGAAGGCTTCCTCCACTGGACTCTGCCGTGGGTTGGCAAGGGCAGGACTAAGAGGAGCGGAAGGAAGCTAGAGACATTCTCATTCAACACAAAGAACTTCTGGAAAGAGTTATTTGTTACTGGGAAAAAGAGGCTCGGGTTGGAGGTTCCCAGAATGCGTTGAGGGTATTGAAACATCAGAGGTTATGGCCATCCTAAAAAAAAATGCAAGATTTGTGTGAGGAATGTAACATCAAATGGGCGAGTGGGAAGCCTAGCTAACCTAAGACCATCATTCTGTCCATTTCAAGAGTCCATGGACCCCTGATCATATCAATTGGATATATTTCTGGAGGGGTAATTGGATACATACTAGAATCTTCTGGAATCTCACAATGGTCTTAAACAAGGCTGTCAAGAGAGGAGGGCCAGGGGAGGGAAAGAGGCTTGCTGTCTTGGCTGCTGTCATTTGCTCTCCCTCCTCTTGAGGTTCTCGGCATCCTCAGGCGGTGACTGCTTTGGGCCGCATGCTGTCCACCATGGCTGAGATCACTGCACCTGCAGCCTTCGCTCCTTCCATCAGGACATGCTCCACCTACAAAGCATTATCAGTTGCACAACAGTCAGAGCCACTTTTAGGTTTCCACCCTCCTCCACCGCCTGTACCCCCAATAGCCCTCATTAGGGATCAGCCTGCCTTTTCCTTCAGGGAAATGTCTTCAGGGAAAAGTCTTTTCCTTCAGGGAAGGACCCAACTGTACTTTCCCTTATTTACAAAAAGCCCGGAGCTGTGCAAGCACCCGGGATAAGCCAGGAGGGCTGGAGACGGACATCTATGGCCAAGGGGCTCCCTTTTCTCCTAGCATTCCTCCTGACTCCATTCCACTTCAGAGCTACTCAGCCCAGGATCTGCCTCCGGCGTGTGTCCAAAGGACCAGTGCCCTTATTCTACAAAGTGAATGAGAGCCAGGAAGGGGAGTCACGAAGCAGAGCCACACGGTGACACAGCATCCAAGCCCAGCTCCAGGCTCAGGGCTCAGGATCCCCAGGCCTAGGCTTTGCTTGGGGCTTGGGGTTCCCTCTCCACACACAGACGCTCCTGGAAGACCTCACAGCAGAGTCCACCAAACAAGCATGGAGCACAAACAAGCAGACAATGCAGTGTGCAGACACAGAAGATGTGGAAAGTGACCAGCCCAGGGCCCTTTCTACTCCTTCTGGAGACAGGAATGGAAATACCTCCTGAGCCATAAGGTAAGATAGAAACACAAGGCCCACTCCCGCTGGCATAGGGAACACTGGCATGGAGCCACTGCCACAGACGATGAGAAACCCACAGGACGCCCCACACAGAGCACACAGCCGCACCTGCTGGCTCCTGGACACGCCGTATCGGAGGTTGTTGACAAAGTGCTCACAGTTCCCCTCAATCAGGTTGTACTGTACAACCTTGTTGATCATCTTCTTCGTGCGCCGGATGATCTTGTCCACAGGCAGAGGCAGGTAGGTCCCGTCCAGCTTGTTGTTGACCTTCCAAGAGCAGCCGTGCAGCACGTCCTCCAGCCGACTGTATTTCACCACGGCCTGGTTGCTGAAGACAGACATGATGCTGCCGGCCTCAGCGTCATCACCTGCACACCAAGGATAAGCAAGAGCTGAAAAGCTGGCACTATCTCAGACTTGGGGTTCAGGGGTCTGCCCTGAAGGCCCCAATTTCACCACCCATCAAAGGCAAAGCAAAGGAAGGGAAATGGACCTGACCCATCATGGAGTATCAAGTTTCCCTCAGAGCCTTTCACCCTGTACTGACCTGCCCACTCGCAATCCTCGCAAGAGTCTCTTGTGGGACAGTACTGGACCATGATGCGTCTGCCCCCCAAGCCCTAAGGGCATGTTGTGCTGTGTTAACATCAGTCTGGCTTCCTAACCACATTCAGTGTCCACCCTCTGGTCAGGTCAGGGCTGGCGTGGACACAATCACAGTGGCCCCCTGACCGCCTCCCTCAGTGGCCTCACAGGTGACCACCTCCCTCAGGGGCACACACAGGTGAGGCTGAGCCCCCAGGCTTTGAAGATGTCCTCTTCCAATAGCCTCCTCAAAGAACTCCTCAGCCCTTACCCTTTTGCCAATTTGGGGACTCAACAGTCTTGAAGAAAGAAGGCTTCGAGGGCTGTCGCATCATCACGGTCAGTCCTTGGAGGTGACAGAAACTCAGAGAGGGTCCAGAACCCACCCAAGGGCTAGAGGAGCCAGAACAGAGAGGATATGGAATGTCCTCATGACAAAGAAACCGTCAAAGATCGAGGAATGCGCTAATTTCCCTATTCCGAGCTTGACATATATACAGATGTGTACCTAACAGCACCTACAATTATTACATGTCAATTTGAAAGAACAGTGGTTTTCTCCTTATTACGTGCTGAATTCCCTATTTAGTGGTGGGTTAAGCTTGTGATGGTTAAGGACCCTGAAAGCCTGTCATTATAAAAATTAGAAAAAAATAAGAAAAGGAGGAGGGAGGGGAAGTATTGGGGGGGAACTGTATATATAAAATACATGGAATTTGTTCTCTTTATAGAACTACAAAAAGGGAAAAGATAAAAATCACTGTAACAGGAAAAAATAAGTAAGGGTCAGACATTCGTCATAGCAGTTAAGACGCCTGTGTCCCGTGTTGGAGTGCCAGGCTGGGTTGAGTTCCCACTCTTCTCTCTCTAGTCCAGTTTCCTGCAGGAGGCTCATCCTGGAAGGCAGCACGGGATGGCCCAGGTGGTTGGGTCTGTGCCACTCAGGCGCAAGTCACAGATGGAGGTCAGGTTCCTGAATGCAGCCTGACACAGCCCTGGCCATCACAGGCATTTGGATGAAGCAGCAAATAAAGATATATTCATTCTATTCATTCTCTCTCTCTCTCTCTCTCTCTCTCTCTCTCTCTCGTTCTCTCCTTTCTTCTTCTTCTTCTCCTTCCTCTCCTCCTCCCATCCACCCCCTCCCAACCTTTCAGTAAAGCCAGACTTTCAACAATGACTTTTTTCTACCACAAGCCAACGTGAGGACCCTCTGTCTTTGCTGTCTGACAGGCCTTGTTCTTTTTAAGCATCTGAAGATCTGATTCTGCACAAGTTGGAGCTAGCAATTCAGCAGGAATGGCAGAGCTCAGATTTGAAGAAAGATCTGATCGGAGGTGTGAGAACCTAACTGTTAGCCGTCTCCCGGGTGACCTGGCCAGGGGAGGAAGAGTGAAGATGAACTGCCTTATTCAGATCTCCTTCGAGACAGCAGAGAATGAAGAGGGTGCAGAGTGGAGGAGAGAGGGTCTGTGAGGAAAACCTAGCAAGGGGAGAGGCTGGGTCTAAGGAGTAGCACGGAGCTGCCATCAAGTGCTGCTCACAGGCTTCCTAATCAAATGCGACAAAATTCAAAGAGCTTCAGAGAACATGCAATGGAGCCCCCTCCCCAGCCCTGCCTCCTCTCCCAGCTCCCTCTACATGTCCCATCTTCTGGGGACACCAAGGTGACCAGTGGCCCCATGTCACTTCCTCTGTTATCACCACCTCCTCCCACAAAGCCTCCACTAAAACCCAATGAGTTCTTGAGTCTGTCTCAGCCTTGTGTTAATGCTACCTAGAGAAATGGTGGGAGGACTGTTCTGTCTTTAGAAGGGAGTGGCCGGGAACAAGTTGGAAAGACAGGGAGACGAGGAAGGATGAAGATGCCACAGGTGGCCAGGCAGCTGGAAGCAGCCTTCAGTGACAGTAGGACTCAAGTGGCAACATAAGCACCTGCACCCTTTCAGGTACTACCCGGAGACTGGAGGCCCAGGCTCTCAAATCCCTACTTCCAAAGAAAGGATGTTCTGTGAAGTCAGGGAACTTGGGTCGCTCATAGAGCTGGACAGAGATCAAGCTCCGGGAGCCTGTGAATACAGAAATGCCTCGAGTGTTAGGCTGCTCCAGAAGGCTGCCAGTGGGGAACAGATGCTAGCTGTACCGCCAACATCACTACCAGTGTTTCAACAGGGTAACCAGTCTTACTTGGAGGGGCCAGATGGACCACACAGTCATTCTCCACGTAGATGGCCCAGTGCTCGTAGCCAATTCGGAAAATCTCAATCAGGTCTCCAGGTCTGGGTCTTGCTTTGCTCTTTCATGAGGTGGGGGGGCGGGGGAGAGAAAGAAAACACAGATGCAATCGCTCCTGCCTTGGGAACTCTGGAGATCCGGCATGGGGATCAGCTACAGCTCAACCTGAAAATCCCTTCACTGTGATTCAGCACTTCACAGAAATCCAAAAGGACTACCCCCTCCCACTGCCATGCACACTGCCACTGTTCCCAGGGTCATCGGGGCCAGGTGCCAGTCAGCACACTGCCTCTCAGTGCACCTGTGGCCAGCAGAGGGACCAAGTGTTTCTCCTTTTCAGTGGCAGGCACCATCCAGACTCTGGGAGGTTCCACCAAGCGGTAGGCAGCATGATGGTCAGAAGTGTGAGCTAAGAACCCATGCCTTGGCCTGGCAGCACACGGTCCACTGGCAGAAAAACCCAGGTACAAAGGCCCACTGCCCTTGCTGGACCCCTGGGTCCCTTGCAGGCCGTGCACAGGGCCCACCTGCAGCCCAGAGGTGTCCTATCCCCTGTCTGCCCACACCACTCACTGCTGATGGTCCCTCCAGTCCTGCCTGCCCAGGGCTGCAGACCAGCTCCAGCTCAACCAGCAAAGCTCCTATTGACTGGGGCAGCTGACCTGCACTTCCCAATGAGGTCTGGTCTTGCCAAATGTCCTCTTTAGAACTTGCCTCATACCTTGTGGCTACTCTTACCATAAGCCCATGGTGATTTAAACTTCCCACGTTCATCTGGCTGCCAGATCTCTCTCCTGGCTAGACCCAGAATGCTGGTACATGTTCTCAAAGAGGCCTGGGGGACAGAGTGTTCACAGAAGGTGTCTGGTGTGGGTGAGTGTGGGGAGGCGCGTTGAGGAGATAGAGAGAAGGAAGGATGGAAGGAGTGATGGAGACTACCCAGGAAAGCGTAATAGAGTCATGAATTTGATGAGCATCTACTTCAACTGTCCTGGCCATAGGAATCTAAACCAACGGTCCAGGCTCTGAAGTCAGAGTCCATTCCAGCAGAGACACACAGGCATCTGGGCTTCTCACTGGTTAGCATACAGCAGTGTACACACCAGCAGTTACATGCAACCAAGTGGCTATGTTGGGGCACATAAGCGTGCTTCCACACATGTATATGTATATGCAGGTAGACATACATGACCATGTGTGGTTCTGTATGCGTAAAAGTCGATGCAGGTACTCACATCACACCCACAAATCCCTTGGGTGCCCCTGGCAATTTCATATTTCTTCCAAGAACCAGGAGTTTCTCATTCTTTTTACTCTGGCAATATACTCAGGAATATAAACTTTCCATCCAAGGCTGGCTTCCGCAGACTCTTCCTCCTCCCTCCCAAAGGACCCCTGAGTTTGTCCAGGTGGAGCACTGGGAAGAGCCTCTATGCCCGGGGTCCCCTGTACCTCCCACACGTGCACATACTCACACCCGAGAGAGGCCTGCTGGGAATTCACAGCCAGCTCTCCGCCACTGTTGCTTCTTGCCCCACACTTGCAGCCATTTCCTTCAGACCGTGTCTTTCCTCCCAGTTCCCAGGCGTATTTCCTCAGCTAAGCACGGTCACTTGGCAGAGCAAGAATTGCAAATGCATGCATTTTAAGTGTACGTACAACGACACCACACACACTGACAAGCTGTGTGCAGCCAGCATGACAGTCCTATTGGAGAACACGTCCCTTGTCCACTAAAGACTCCTCAAGCCCATTTGCAGTCATTCTCATCTCCTGGTCCCAGCCTGGGGCAACTCTGCCCCCGTGACCACTCACCCGCCTTTTGCCCTGTACCAACCCCCAGCCACTGGTCTAGCTCCTGGAGATCTGCCTTCCCTGGGTACGTTCTCCGTGTAGAGTGGTACAGCTTGTGGTGCTGGCTGGCTGGCTTCTCTTGCCTGGCGGGATGCATCTGAGATCCACCCATGTTGCAGTAAGGATCAGCACTCCACAGGCTGGGTACACCACCCGCAGAGTTTACCCTTCGTCTGCTTTCTTCACTCTCAGTTTGGCTAGTCTAGTTTCTTTGTCCTTCTGTAGAGGTTTTAGGATCCCCTTGCTAGTTTATACATGCTAGGGTGGGGGTTTTAGTTTGGATGTGCACCCCAAGGCCCAGTGTGGCGAAGGCTCAGTCGCATAAGTCTCAAGTTGATGGCGCTAAAAGGGTGAGAACAGAATGCCAGGATGGTGCTAAAGAGGTGGCATCCATGGGAGAGGAACAGGCTGGATTAGGTCCCCGGGGGAGCCCCAGGCCCAGGGCACGGCGAGAGAGACACAAAGACGTCCCTTTCCGCACAAAGCTCTATGCTGCCTCAGGATCTCACCCACAGCCGAGTCAGAGGGACCTGATGGACTTTGGAGTACAAATCTCCACAGGCCAAAACAAATGTTTTTCCTTCTTCAGAAGTAGCTTGTTTCTGGCATCTTGTAGTGATGAATAGCCAAAAAAAAGACATTATTCCTGGGACTGGTGCTGTGGCATAACAGCTTAATCCTCTGCCTGCAGCAGCGGCATCCCATATGGCCACTAATTCAAATCCCAACTGCTCCACTTCCCATCCTGCTCCCTGTTGACATATATGGGAAAGCAACAGAGGATGGTCCAGACCAACCCAACTCCAGCTGTTGTTGCTGCTATGTGCGGAATAAACCAGCAAATGGAACATCTGTGTGTGTGTGTGTGTGTGTGTGTGTGTGTGTGTGTGTGTGTGTCCCTCTCTCTCTGCAACTCTGTCATCATATGCTGCCTTCCCAGATCCTTGGCAGACAGCTGCGTCAGAAGTGCAGTGGTTGGAACTAGAACCAGGCAGACTGGAACTCTGATACAGGGCACCGATATTGCAACAAGTGGCTCAACCTGTTGCACCACAATAGCAGCCCTGCAGCTTCATCTTTTGGGCTAAGCTTAGCTTTCACACAATTACACATAGAATCCTTTTCTTAGTTTCATTTCCAGAGGGTTCACAGCTGATACAGAGAAACATGATTCATGCTTATACATGTGCCTGGCACTCTGCAACCTTACTGAGCATGTGTGCTAACTCTGACGGCCTTGCAGGTGTTCTTGTAGATTGCACAGAACTCTGCATGGTTGTGCAACACCAGGTCAATTGCAGAACTCCTGTAGGTGACCCATGGCAGGTGGAGAAGCCCCACCTTTGATGAAAGAGTTCTTTTCATGAATGGCAATCAGATTTAGTCGGATGCCGAATCCAGCCATACTAAAATAATAATATGGATGCTTGTTACTAACACAGAAGGGTACACTAATCATTTTAAGAGTGTTACATCTGAAGCTGGCGTGGTAGCACGACTAATCACTGCCTGCAGTACCAGCATCCCATATTAGCGTCGGTTCAAGTCCCAGTGGCTCCACTTCTGATCCAACCCCCTGCTAATCACTTGAAATAGAAGCAGAAGGAGGATGGCCCAAGGCCTTGGACCCCTGATCCACGTGAGAGCTGTAGAAGCTCCTTGGCCTCCTGTCTCAGACCCACCCAGCTCTGTCTCTTGTGGACAGTAGATGAAAGATTCTCTCTCTCTCTCTCTCTTTTTTTCAAGTAAAAATAAGCCTGTTACTTTTTTAAAAGAGTGTTACATCAATCTTGCATTTCCAGAATAAATCTTGTTATTGTGTGTAACCTTTTTTCCATGTGGCTGGATTTGATTCAATAGTACTTTTCCAAGGATATTACATATTCGTAAGTGAGTCTAGTCTCTAGTTTTCTTTTCAGGTGGAGTGGTCTCTGTTGATCCATCTTAAAGTTCCCGATTATTTTTTTCTGGCAGTTCCCACTTGTTTTTGAGCCCCTCTAAGCGAATGTTTTATCACATCCACTGTACTTTTCAGACCCAAGATTAACATCCGCTGCCTTTTACAACCTCTGCCTCCTTGTGGGCATGACCTATTTCTCGGTCATCCTCATCCTGCGGTCCTCTCATTCTTTGAGCATGATTTCATTGACTTCTTTAGATGTTTTCATAATACAAGTGTTTAGGACTACAAGGATGCTTCAAGGTTCTGAGGAAAACGGAATTCAAACATCAGCATATTTTGATGCAAAAATGATTTTTATATCGAAGTGGACTTGTCTCTTTTTAAAATTTATTTTTATTGAAAAGGCAGATCAGATTTATGGAGAGGAGGAGGGACAGAAAGATCTTTCACCTACTGGTTCACTTTCCAAGTGGTTGCAGTAACCAGAAATAAGCCGATCCAAAGCAGGACCTTCCTCTAGGTCTCCCACATAGATGCAGGGTCCCAAAGCTTTGGGCCATCCTTGATTGCTTGCCTAGGCCACAGGCAGGGAGCTGGTTGGGAAGCGGACCAGCGAGGCCACGAACTTGTGTGCATATGAAATCCTGGTCCATGCAAGGTGAGAATTTACCCACTTAATCATCACACTGGATCCATCGACTTATCTTTTAATTTCATTTGTCATAAGCTTGTGAGTCAGGAAAGAGTGACCCATATACAATAACAAAATTATATTATTTTTATTTATACATACACACACACATCCTGGGAGGCATCAGTGGTGACACCCGTAATGGGGTACCGCTGCCCATGCGGGAGACGGGGTTGTGCTCCTGGACCCACGCCCCCACCAGCAGGGCAGCTGCGAGTATGTGGGCAGCAGAGAGTAATTTAAAAAAAAAAGAAAAGAAAAGAAATTATTAAAAAAAAAAAATGCTAAAAACAAAGGAAAATGTAATGAAGGTGCGTGAACACTAGAGGGCGCCCCCAAACTAGGCTTCTCAGCACAGTGACTCCTTGGAAGAATATTTTTAATCGGAAAATCAGACTTCATTTGCTTTTACCATAGGACCAGAGAGGAACTGTGGGGTCACCCCTCCCTGCAGCTTTGGAGGAGGTCATACATTAGCGAGGCTGAGAGCCGAGGGCTGTGAGACAGCTTGTCAAAGGCGGCCCAGATCAGAAAGAAGTAGAGAATGGTGTCTGGGTGATGGAAGACTTCAAAGAGCAGCGGAGGACCACCACCGCATCCCCGCCCAAGCCACACAGGCCTGTTTCTCTCCTCCAGAGACAGACACTCACTTGGAAAAAATGGTTTCTGTGAGCTGCCCCCCGCCCCAGGTAAGCACAGACTGCACAAATCTGACAGGTGCGGTGCTGAGAAGTCCGGGGAGAGCTCCTTCCCGAACAGCCGGTGACGGGAGGGCAGAAGCAGCAGAACAAATGCATCCTTGGAACTTCTGGGAGAGAGGAGAACCAACACAAAGCCCTCCAGTTGTTTCTAGAACACACAGATTCTCCAGACATGAGAGTGACTGTGGGAAGCCAGGAGTGGGAGAAGATCAATTTGGGAGCCTTGTTTTCAGCTCTGACTCCAACCCAGAGGGCACCTCGGCATTGAACACTTGGAGCCTCAGGCGCAGACATGACGCAAAGAGAGAGAAGACGCGTGGTGTTTAATTGCACTCTTTGTGCGTATCAGGGCATCTCACACACACGCCATCCTGCTCTGTCCTGACCATGATGTGAACAGTCCTCTAGGAGGTCCTTGAGGACAAGGACTCCGCTATTTCTCCCCAGAGCCCTGCAGGAGTTTAAAAAAAAAAAAAAGCAAAGGAGCCAAAATGCCACAGACATCTACTGAGCATCAACCTTTATTCCACCTTTGCTTACATGAATAGACCAGCCAAAGGAGCTTCCAGATCTTGGCCTTAAAAAACTGGAACTCAGCTCTTTCAGAGCCTTAGGAAGTGTTGCATGTGCTTGTGGCACAACGACCTTGCAGGGCTCACGCAGTAATAACTGTATCGTAAAGCTTGGAAAGGAGCTGACTCAACATACCCCGGGCTCCAGCAGAAGCGACTCCAGCACCCTAAGTCAAGCTGACACTCCCCTCCAGGAGTTGTTTGGGATGCTGAGTCACCTGACCTTGTCTCTGCGCAGGGTGACACCTGCCAGGGTGACAGGTCACAAGCACACGCATACTGAGCAGCTGCTACCTGCCCCAGCTGCACATCTGAGGCGCGTACAAGGCCAGTGCTCACACCCTGGGCGGCCGTTGCCCGCACGTGGTCACCGTGCCATGTACAAGTGATCCCAAGCTGCCTCCCACCAGGGAGCAGTTTGTCAGACTCTCCTGATGAATAAAACCCTTTATCTAAATACTCTAATTGCCCTCATAAGGCTTAGTCCTCTGCCAGCACGCTGCTGCCCTCTACTGGCCGGAGAGACAGCTTTGCTGGTGGGCCCTGGTTACTGACGGTAAAGCTTGTGAATTTCCTGGTGTGTAGTAATGGTTTTGTGGCTCAAAAAGCTAACCCAGGCAATATGAAGACCTCATAAATACGACTTTCACCGACTTGTTAACATAAATCAGTCCTTACGAGTATAATCTGATGGGCCCAGCGTAGTAGCCTAGTGGCTTCAAGTCCTCGCCTTGCATACGCCAGGATCCCATATGGACACTGGTTCATATCCCAGCTGCCCCACTTCCCATCCAGCTCCCTGCTTGTAGCCTGGGAAAGCAGTCGAGGACGGCCCAAAGCCTTGGGACTCTGTATCTGCGTGGGAGACTGGAAGAAACGCTTGGCTCCTGGCTCCAGATCGGCTCAGCTCCGGCCATTGCCCCACTTTAGGAAGTGAACCAACAGTCGGAAGATTACTCTCCCTCTTTCTCTCTCTTATCCTCTCTCTGTCTCCTTATTCTTAAAACATTAAAATTAAAACAAGGAAAATGCTTGTTATATGTATAAAAAAAAACTAAAACAAGGATTAAAATAGAATACGCCACAAATGCAACAAAACAAAATCATAAAATATTCAGTTTGGAAGAAGTCAAGAAAAAAAACAGAAAAAAGCAAACAATGAAGAAAAATAGAAAATAGAAAAATGGCAGACTTAAATCTAATCCTACCAATAGCCACATTAAAGTACATGGATTAAATACCCCC